AACTCCTGCAATAGACCAGCGCCCACAGACGTCATCTCGTTTGAGGCCTGGTGATCACTACCCCATACAACTGCCTCCTACTACTGCCAAGAAAAATGCTCAGAAGAGGTGTTATGTATGTATGCATACCACAAAACGCCCACAAACACGCAGAGACACTCGTTTTATGTGTGAGGAGTGTGAAGTGCCCCTCTGCATATACCCATGTTTCAAAGAGTTCCACAAGCTGCAGCAGTTCTAGGAACGTGCTTAGTGACTGTACATATGTATATATATTATGGAACAATAGTAATAAACATTGTTTTGTATTGTTTGTTTGTGTAAACAAAGTGTATACACAAACTAATAGTGATAAAGTTTGTTCTGTTATTGTGTTGTAAATAATGAGTGTATATTTGAACAATGCACCTTACATTGGTCTCACAGGCCACATAAGTTACCTGGAAAAGAAAAATATTGAAAAATGCAAGAAACCTTTGAATTAGAGTAAATAAAAGAATACCGGGTGGGCGGCAGTCGCCGCTGTTGCCATACGCACGTCGATTTCTGCAAACTTTGCGGCTCTATATCTCGGTAAGTACTGATGGCAAAAATTTTTTTTTAGGCTTAAAACACTAGTAAAAAATATTCCTAACATTTTCATAAGAAAAAATAATTTTTTTTTTTTTCGAATATTTGGCGACATAGAATGACAGTTTCAGAGAGGGCCCTGAAACAGTCAAAGGGTTAAGGTAGTTATACTCAAAGCAAGCATGAAACCTGCTAAGGCACGAGGATGTACAAATGTAAAATTGGTCAACTTCACAATATAATACGCTGGTTTAGCTCAGTATTCGTAAAATGGGTTACATTGCTCATCATGGAGGCACTGAAACAATATAGGGAGTTAACCGATCAAAGATGTCAATGCTGAAACTGGGACTTTCAACAAGGTCAGTGCATCTCCAGGAAACTCAAAGTGAATTATGCACTTTCCAATAACTGGAATGGTATTAAGATACTTTTAACTACCTGGCAGTCCAGACAGAACTGTTAGTCCTGCCATGCAGTATCAACATGAATCTTGTCAGACTTATCATCCTGAATCTTCCATACCTGATAGGAAAAAGATGGCTAGAAACCAGATTGCATGACAAAATTTACTGACTTGCAATGACCAAATTTAGGGCACAAATTTATTCTAAATGCCATCAGTTATCAGAAGTACATAGAACAAAACGCCCTAATCATTAAATGTAGATCGAGAAAAATTATGACCTATTATAATCAAATAAAGCACTATACCAAATCATGGCCTAGTGTAGTAACTCCTCAGCTATTCCCCTCGAGCTAGGTGCAGGAAATTGTTCAGCTGTCAAGAGTGCATGGAGAGTTTTGAAGACGAAGATATGCAGTACAAGCTCTTACATTATGACTAACAAGTCGAGAGGAAATGTCAGCAGACCCCAATGACAATACGAGGGAGGGAAACGAACTATAAGAAAAAGCAATCTTACATGAGCAGTTCCATGCTGTTCTTGCTGAAAAGGACCCTCATAAATCTAGCAATGCTCTAAAATTGTCAGCTCCATAAAGTACTGCAGGGTGAAAGACCAGATGCATTACAGATTTTATCCACACTACAGCCATTAACAGTGCAAAAGCCTTGACCTTTCACCTCAGCTAACTGTCCACAACCTTCTATCTCAGCATCCCTCTCAAGTACTTTGAAAACCAAACACCAGCAACCACAATTTAAGGCAAAATATTATAGTCAACTATACAATATAATCATGGGTACACGAAGCTAAAAATAAACTTGCTACTGAAGTAAATCGTGTACCCGACGTGCCTTTGTAGGGGGCAAACAGTTTAAAGAGATTGAAACAATTAGCCACCATCAACTTGTATGCTTAACCCTTTGACTGTTTGGGTCGTATACATACGTCTTACGAGCCACTGTTTTTGACGTATATACACTAATTCTAGCAGCTTCAAATCAAGCAGGAGAAAGCTGGTAGGCCTACATGCGAGAGAATGGGTCTGTGCACCATAAAAATCCTGCAGCATGAGGTGCATTGAGAAAAATCTCTTAAATGCCAACTGTAGTCTATTTTCATAGTATTTATGGTTGCATTCACTTTTTTGGCCTCATTTGATAGAATGGAAAACATATTATAGAAACAGAGGCAATTTTGATTGGCTTTACTATGAAAAGAACCTAGAAATGGAGCTCAAAGTAGGGGAAATGTTTGATTTTTGCCGATGTTCAAAAATAAACAAATGTCATTTTCCAATAAATGTCCAAGTAGCCATTCTAATATGCAGTCATGAATGGGTTGACATTTATACAATTACAATATTGCAGTAGTCTCCATAACAGTAATTATTTTTTTTTGTTTGAATAAAAATTCAAAATAGAAAGCAAGAGTAATATCAGAAGGGCCTGGAGACATGACTGATGAACAAAGAAATGTTATTTTAAGAGCCAGGAATGTCTGCATTGTTCATTCTGGACCCTATTTTGAAATTGTCATTTTTTAATTTTTGTGAAATTGGCCAAATTTCAAATTTCAGACCATGTAATTGGGTAGTTGAAATCTGTAAATGGGCAGTTTCTTGTACTCAATCGATAAAAAAAAAAAAAAAAAAAAAAAAAAAATTATATATATATATAATAATAATAATATGGAGTTCTAAGAAATAGCTACGAGTTTGGTCGACTGGAACAATGGAATTAGCCAAATAGGGCGAAATCGCCGATTTGTAAACATCGCCGAAGCCGCTAACTTCGCAAGTGTAATTCCATCAATTTTCCATCAAATTTCGTTCTTTTGGTGTCGTTACAATCAGGAAAAGATTCTCTACCATTTCGTATTATTTTTTTTTTTTTTTTTTGAATTTTGCGACACCAGTAGAGACCTCAGGATTTGGGGTTGGGACAGTCAAGGGGTTAACTAAAGGGTCATACAGCACTGACTGCAGTACTACATTTTTGAAAATTTTCCATCATTTATTCCACAAGCAAAATTTTTCAAAATTTTTATTAATCTGATTAATTAAATGCTTTGCTTCTTCTATAAGTTTTATTGACTCAATTAGCAGTAGTTACTATTTTTTGACTACACAACAGTACACAATACATAGTAACTTTGCAGCGCAGTCTACAACTAGAATCTAATGGTATTTATGTTTTATGTGAATTTAAAATGAATGAAAAACCATTTGTTCACAATTAAATTTTTATAGTACAAAATCTTTAATACAAATACAAGGTACTGAATATACAAAATATATATTATATGGGACACCACAGGCTAGTTACAATGACAAGTCACCTGGCTAGCAGTTAGTAATTGCAAAAATAGTTACTGTACTAGATTACCAACTATACTTTCACAGTTGACAGTAAATTAGTTTTGGTGCAAGCATTACCAATAGTATTTACCATCTGTCAATTTGTTTATAAATACAGTAACCCACTATTTTGCCAATGTATTTTCCAAGTACCTAGATTTGTTTTCTAATGTCAAAAACCCCGTATTTCTAGTCGATGCTCCACCTAAAAATTTATATGAACATTTTTAGAAGTTTGTAAATGTGTGATGCACTAAATATAAATTTCAGTCTACAAACCAAACAGTTCTAGATTTTAATTCAAGCCTTCAAACTGGCAAGTTCTTATTTGTACAGGTCACAGCAATTTTGTACTGAAAGCTAAAGAAATGTTCACAAGCTAACTAATCAGGTGGGTATTTGTTCTAATGGTGAAACAAAACCTTTCATGTTTATCTATTCTTCTGCCTATGTGTACATGTGATTTGAATTCTTAACCATTTACAATAAGAAAGCTCTAAAGCTAAATATAATAAGCTTTGTTAAAACTAAAACCACAGCACTTGAGTTTCAAAATTAAAGTCGAGTAACCTTCCTACTTTAAATTACTAGCCATGGACTCTTGTACCTTTTATTTGTATCCCCCAAAGGAATGTTTGGAGCTGGTGAAGTGTTGCTTTGTTGTGCAAATTTATAAAAAGAAACATACTTAATACTAAGTACTTCAAATTATTAGTCTGAATTTATTCCATGGTAATGTTTACTTATTTAAATAATGCTGTCAAAACAAATTTTAAGAACATCTGAAACAGCTGAGCACCTACAGCACTTTCAACAGTACCCTGTTCGGCATAGCTTCAAAAGCATAAAAATACTGTTAGGACATGGTGGCTAAATTTCACACCAAATTTTGAAAGCAGGAGGCATAGTAGGTATAATATGGAATAAATTTAAAGAACTAATATACTAGTGTATCTCACCACACTAACAGCCTGGCTAGACTAGGCTGCAGGGGCATATCCTCAACAATGTTAAACTTTAAATCTGATCAGGTACACTTTTGTAAACAAAACATTTCCTGTTGATACCATGTTGACTGGGTTAGAGAGCTGTCAAAACTAAAGTTCAGAATATTCAAGCACAAAAAATTAACCATCCTCAATATAAACAAATTGAAACTATCAAGACTAAAACCACAAAGGGAAATGGGGAAGCAAGGAGTGCCAATGTCTAGACAGTACATGGGGAAACATCCTCTCAAATTTAGGCACTAGGTAAAAGTAAGCTTCCAGAGAAATATTTTCTTAAGCAAAATTGTCCAAATAACTGAAGGCACAACCAATCCAAGAGCTAACACATTCAAGAAACTAATACATATGAAATTTAATGCTTACGAAGTGATGAAAAGTAAAAGCATCAACTTTTTTTGAAAAAGATTTATTAAAGATATAGTATGAAAATAATGTGACAGGAATAGGAAGAATTCATTGGACTGAACAACTAAATCTAGTGTCAGTGCCAAATGTGTTTGGTCCCTACAGACTTAACTTTCAGGAATAACCCCCCTTCAAGCACTAATGCATTACACTGAAAAATATTTCCTTATAAATGCACTTAAAGAATAACTACATAGATGTCTTCAGCAACCACACATCACCATAAAATTAATCAAAACTGCCTAGATCAGCAGATGACTGGTTAGAGAAATTTATTGGGGCTTTTTTTTATTTTTTTTTTTTTTTTATCAAATTAACACTTAGACAAATCACATCCTGGGCTTGCATTTGAATTTCAATCCAGATAGAGCAAATAAGGCAAAATGAATTTACTTCTACATACTTTAGGTAACTTAGAATGAAAAGCCACCATCAGGCATGTTCGTAGCAGACGTAAAATCATAGGCTTGCCCATTTGTTGTGCTGCTTATACCATTTGTTTCTTCCTCAGCAAAATAAGTCTCAATAATACTTAAAGCCTTCTTGTAGACTGCCTCATTTTCATGGCTCTGAAGTTCTTCAATTTTATCAAGCCCACCACATTCTTCTATCATTTGGCCAACACGGTCTACTTCACTTATTTTCTCTGCAGTCTGAAAGTAAGTGATTATATTTTCAATAAAAAATTTATTGACTTTCAAAGCAGATGTTGAAAATATTAAGGCTACAGCATAAATTAAAAACTCATAGCCCACAATTAGTGGGTTACTTTAATTTGTCCAACCACAGTACTGTAGCTTTCATAAATACAGTAGGGCCCCACTTATTCGGCAGGTTAGGTTCCAGGCTACTGCCGGGAAAGCAGACTGGCAGAAAGCCATTTTTGTTACCTGGCATATAAATGCCAGGTAACAAGTTTATACTAACATATTACATTAGCAATAGAACTAGGCATTAAGAACAATAAAAAGTAAAAACACACACAGTACATCCATTATTTACCTTAAAATATTTGTAGTCTTCATGTAGGGTGCAAGGTGAGTAATTTGTAGGAAGTCAGGTTTGGGAGGTATGGTAACCAGCCAGGTCAGCCCACCCCCACCCACACCTAATACTACATTTAAAGCTCCCCAGAGCGATAAAATATATGCACAGTACATTCAGTAATTACCTTAAAATATTTGTAGTCTTTATGTAGGATAAGAAGCGAGTTTTATAGAAATCAGGTTTGGGAAATATGGGTATTCTGCAGACGCTGCCCTCCCCACCCCACCCACACGTAATGTAAACAAACCAGACGAATGCATCTGGTTTTCGTCACTACATTGTGTACAAGTTGTCTCCATGTTGATACAGTAGAATAAAGAAATCACCCCCAGTCTTGTGTAACTTTTTAGAAGAAATGACGCCTTGAGTGAAGGCATACTTAGGTACAGGTATACGTATAATTATCAGGCATCATAATGTAGGTATGTAGTCTGCCTGGGCTACATACCTACACCCCCCCACCCCCACACACACAACCCCACACACACACACACACACACAACCCCCCACACACACACACACACAACCCCCCACACACACACACACACACCACACAACCCCACACACACACACACACAACCCCACACACACACAACCCCCCCCCACACACACACACACACCCCACACACACACAACCCCCCACACACACACACACACACAACCCCACACACACACACAACCCCCCACACACACACACAACCCCCCACACACACACACAACCCCCCACACACACACACAACCCCCCACACACACACACACAAACCCCACACACACACACACACACACACAACCCCACACACACACACACACACAAACCCACACACACACACAACCCACACACAACCCCACAACCCCACAACACACACACACAACAACCCACACACACCACACACACACACAAACCCACACACAACACACACACCACACACACCCCACACACACACACACCCAACCACCCCCCACACACACACACAACCCCCCACCACACAACACACAACCCCACACACACACACACAACCCCACACACACACACACAACCCCACAACACACACACACAACCCCACACACACACACACAACCCCACACACACACACACAACCCCACACATCACACACACAACCCCACACACACACACACAACCCCACACACACACACACACAACCCCACACACACACACACACAACCCCCACACACACACACACAACCCCACACACACACACACAACCCCACACACACACACACACAACCCCACACACACAACAACAACCCCACACACACACACACAACCCCCACCACACACACACAACCCCACACACACACACACAACCCCACACACACACAACAACCCCACACACACACACACAACCCCACACACACCCCACACAACCCCACACAACACACACAACCCCCAAAACCCACACACCCCCACACACAACACAACCCCACACACACACACACAACCCCCACACACACACACACAACCCCACACACCCCACCACAACCCCACACACACACACAACCCCACACACACACCCCCACACACACACCACCCCACACACACACACAACCCCCCACACACACACACACACACACAACCCCACACACACACACACACACACCCCACACACACACACAACCCCCCCACACACACCACAAAACCAACCCCACACACACACACACACACAACCCCCACACCCACACACAACCCCACACACACACACAAAACCCAACCCCACACACACACAACCCCACACACACACAACCCCCACACACACACACACACAACCCCACAAAACACACCCACACACACAACCCCACCCCACACACACACACAACCCCACACAACCCCCCCACACACACAAAACAACCCCCCACACACACACACAACCCCACACACACAAAACACAACCCCACACACACACACAACACAACCCCACACACACACACACAACCCCACACACACACAAAACAACCCCACACACAAAACACACAACCCCACACACACCACACAACCCCACACACACACACACACAACCCCACACACACACACAAACCCCACACACACACACAACCCCACACACACACAAAAACCCCACACACACACACAACCCCCCCCCACACAAAACCCACCCACACACCAACATTGAAACTACAGACCTGGCCAGATTTTTTTCTAACTCCCACCTTCTCAAAACAGTTAAGGGATCCACACCCCTTATTAAAATTGCTTGATTAGGAATTACTTTATACTCAAAATTCAATTTCTTCTCGAAACATAAAACAGTGCTTCAAAACCCTCCAGATTCGTGTCACTTAAATTTTCTTCAAGGCTCAAATGAAATGCATTAAAACGTTCTAAAATAGCTTATTTTTAAAGAAAATAAGCCAGCAAGTGTTAAAAAACTACTAGCGACTATAAATATTTGTAACCAAACAAGATTGCAAGGTTTGAAGGGTAATTAACTAAGCCTACAGTGAAACTTAATAGAAGTAAAATAAAACTGCATAAAAGCAAAGCTTGCTTACTTGGAGGATGTTTAAGATGCCATCCAAAACTACCATAATAGTCTTGGCATCTTTGGCAGCAAGCAGGTTGCAAAATGGAGTGAGGACACCTTGGCTTACAAGTTCAACAATCTGTTCTGTTGACCCTCCAGATGTGAAGTTTGTTACTGCCCATGCAGCTTCTTTCTGGGCCTTGAAGTCACCCTGCATATTGTATGTAATCTTAATGTGTGTTTTTTTTTTTCAAGATTAAAACTATTTCTTGTCATTAAAATCATTTATGAAGGTTTCGTCAATGTCCTCAGAATGTGAACATCAATAATTTAATCATTTATAATAAGCAACATTCAATTTATGCCCAAGTTAAGTCTTGGTCAAAGAAATTAATTTTCTAAAGCACAAATAATTAAACAAAAGTATAATGGTATATCCAAGTAAGTAGAATTAATAGGAAAGTCCTAACACCCTCTGCATTATGAAAAATGACACCTAAACTGTCGTATCCGTGTGCCTCTGGCAAGTGAGAGCAATGGGAATTTTTTTGGTGGCCACCTTCCACCTTGCCTCAGTGGGAGATGCCCAGCATATGAAGAAATTCAAGGCTCAAGCTAAAATAAAATTTAGCTTAAATAAATGCTACCAGTAAAGAAATTGTACTGTACAAATCCCCCCAACTCAAGTTCCCAGATTTTTGTACTTCAATGACATTACTGAAAAGGCCTCCTTTAAATGTGATTTGCAATATCTTATTTCCTTGGCATAATCCTTTATTTGAAAGCTATTTTTTTTTCCAATTACCAGACAAATACTAAGTAAATATTTGCTACACGTCTATATTAAAGAAGGAGAAATATTTAAAACTGCCTCAAACCCTAAGTCCAAGTTAAATTTTAATATTCAATTCTAAATTTGCAGAAGCTAAAATTTATGAAACTGGGGATTAACACTAATATTAAAACTAGTGCATCCATCTGTATCAGTATGTATCTGCAAAACATTCATGCTTACAAAAAATTCTCACCTTATCCAAGACTTGACAGATGGGTGGTAGTAGTCCACAGTCTATAACTGCCTGTATCTGCTCTGCATTACCTGCCGTAATGTTTGAGATCGTCCAAGCAGCTTCTTTCACAATATTGCTACGGTGATGTCTCAACAATTTTGGGAATACTGGTAAAGTTCCAGCATTTATTACAACATCAGTCTGGAAAATGTACATTATAAACATGACATTGGGACATCCAACAGGTGAGAGCATGTTAAGAGAAGACTGGAGGCAAATGGTTAGACAAAGGTGTAGTAGTGATTGAGGTAACATTTACAAGGATTCAGGTAAACCAGTTAGCCGGACCAGTCCTGGACGTGGAGTATTGGCTTCACTCAACCCTCTAACCAATATACTAGTACGTACCATTTTCCATACCCACAAATCTGCCACCTGCCAATATTTTCGACCTCAGTACAACTTTGATCTTCCATTTATTCATGCATTTGAATAAAAGGCCAGCAGGGTCCACACAATGTATCATGGTTAACTTCTCAGGTGATGACTACATACTAGTATGCCTCAATAGCAAAAGTAAAGGAACCACGAGCTGTTGTTCCACCACTAGCTTCACTACCAGCAAGCAAGGTGTGCAAGTGGCTCAATGACTTATGCATTCCAAATTTATTGCAACTTCATGATACAAACAGCGGAATTCAGCCACAAAGCACTAGGTATATAACCAAGGATACACCAATAGTCAAACTGAATAATTCTTATGTTGAGGATTATACAACTGTCCCTCATTTTTCGTAAGCATCAAAAGCCTTAATTTTCGAATATCTTAACTCTCTTTTCGTCAAAACTGACTCGAATCTTCATTTGACTGTCATTCGTCCCAGACATGTACGCATGCATATAGCGACCCCACACTATTCCCAGCCAGGGTGCCATTGTTTATCAGCAAGTGAGGACGATCCCACAAGTTTTATACTATACATTTCATAATATTCCATTCGCTTTGGTGCTTGCAACTGCTAAATAAGCCACCATGGCTCCAAAGAAAGCTAGTGCCAGCCCTTTGGTAAAGAATGTGAAAACACTAATTCAAGAGTTTGTAGAAAAATACAAGTGGTGGTGGTACAGGGTGGCTGTGATGGTAGTAGAGGGTGCCTTCAGTGATTCTACTAACTCATCCAATGTTGTTGGAGTTTTAGAGGGCTACAGAAAACACCACCACCTCAGATGCAACCTTCATTATGGATGGCTTATGCTCTCAGTGGCCCTTGTACACCCAACACCAGTCGTGACGTATATAACGACTTAATTTATTCATTCTATAGTACATGTCATGTTTGTTAATATTGTTCAAGTCAGTTTAATTGATATTAGTCATTCTCCAACAAACTTGCCTCCCCTCTCTGCCATACACCAAGTTTTCAATGAAAGTGATGTTAAATGTTCATTCATACATTTTGTTAGTGCTTTACATTTGTCATTCCTTTCTGCATGTAAATTTATATTAAAGGACTTTATACCTTGAGTCCTTATAGAGGGGATTCCCCCTCCAAACAACCTCTCTTCCCTCCTCCCTGTCTTCCATCCATCAACAGCCTTCAACAAATGCAAGTGCCGTGCTGAATGTTCATTTTTTGTGCATGTAAATGTAAGGAAAAAAATTACTGTTGATACTCCTGGGTGTCTGGAACGAATCAATTGTATTTACATTACGTATTTTTATATAGCTGGACTAGCACCTCTGCAAAAACAGTGATTATGTGTGAGCGAGGTGAAAGTGTTTAATGAAAGCATTTTTTTTTTCTTTTTGGGTCACCCTGCCTCACCGGGAGACTGCCGACCCTTTTAAAAAAATTTATGGGGAAAATGGGGTTTCGCAAATCCTGTTTCGATAATAGTCACACGAACAGATTATGAAAACAAAGGGACCACCGTACTCTAAAATAATTGTATTTATTACAATTATTAATTACACAAGTCTGATTTTTTTTTTTTTCAAGCTATCCTACAGTTACAGGGTTAACCCTTTCAGGGTCCGTGCCGTAGATCTACGGCTTTATGTTCAGGGTCCAAACCATAGATCTATGCCATGAGCTCAGCTCTCACTGATAAGCTGTGAGTGGTAAATTTGGGCCTAGATATGAGGAATATATCTATGTGGTATGTGTGCACCACAAAAATTCCTGCAGCACACAGTGTATGAGAAAAAACAGTGATTTTCGATTAAAACAGCGATTCTGTAGTGTTTTTTCGTATGTTTTGTAGTTATATTTGCGATTTCTTGGTCTCATTTGATAGAATGGAAGACATATTACAGAAATAGAGATGATTTTGATTGGTTTTAACACTGGAAATAGCTTGAACTTAGCTCAAAGTAGCGGAAATGTTAAATTTTTGCCGATGTTCAAGAGTAAACAAACAACCTACACTTCTAATACATGCCAGCTGGCGAGTAATATACATTCACAAATGTGACATATACAATTATTACAATATTGCGTAACAGTATATCTTCTATTTCTTGGTTTGAATAAAAATTCAAATAAAAAATCAAAATGGAATTCATTTGTAAAGCCTCAAAACGTAACTAATGAACAGAGGAAATGTTAGTTTAGTGCCAGGAATACCTACATTGTTTATTCTGGACCCTATTTTGAAATTTAAATGTTTTGAACTGTTAAATTGGGCAAATTACTAATTTCCGATCACTATTTTGTAGTTGAAACAGTTGACTTGGCTGATTTCTTGTGCTCAATCAATAGAATAGAAGTAATACTAGTGAAATAGCTAAGAATTTGTTTGACTGGAATAATGTAATTGGCCTAAAATGGGAGTCAAAGTCGGCAAAATCGCCGATTCATAAATATCGTTGACATCAAAATTCACAAGCATAATTTCGTCAATTTTCCATCAAATTTCGTACTTTTATTACCTTCAGAAAAAGATTCTCTACCATTTCATAAGAAAAAAGTTTATGAACATTCTTGGACCCTGGTGTGCACTTTGAAATTTGGCCTCTGGACTCTGAAAGGGTTAAGGAGGGGGTAGAGATCTCATTTTTTAATTGAAGTATCTGCACACCACCCGCAAGTGAAATTATGAAATGGTTGAGAATCATTCAAGGTAAGTAAAATTTTATTGAAAATTTGCAGAATAATGCAGGTGCAGTTAGCAGGCTGGATGCAATTTACATTGATTTCACCTAAGGAGTCTTATTTTAAGCCAGGGCTGTTTGATTTCTTACCCATTAGAAAGCTTTCTATTCTATCAGTGAGCACAAGCTGCCCATTCATCTATCAAAGCTACCAAATATAGTGCACAATTTGACAATCTGGCCACTATTCAAAAAATGTAAAATTTTATAACAGTCCAAATAAACACAGGCATTCCAGCCACAAACATTCTCTTCATTATCACATCCTCAGGCCTCTCCAATAATACACACTCCATTTTGGATTCCTCAAACAAAATTTGAAGTTTTACCCTATTACCCTGATAAAATACAATGAATATTTCATGGTATCCCAATAATTTAAGCAAACGAGTAAAGACCCATAAACCAAAACGGGTATAGTAGAGCCTAATCAATCCAAGAAAATCGAGAAATCTATTTCTACTAGACTCCTGAAATCAACCAACATTATCTCGAGCATGTTTTCCAGGCTATTAATTGATACCAAGAAAGCAATAAAGCCATGAAAACCATCCTAGAAAAAAAAAAAACCAAGTCACCATTTTAATCCTCCATTTCAATCGTATATATACGTCTTATGAGCCAATGTGTGACGCATATAGTACTCAAATTCTAGCGACTTCAAATCAAGCAGGAGAAAGCTGGTAGGCCCATGTGAGAATGGGTCTGCGTGGTCAGTGTGCACAGTATAAAATCCTACAGCAAGCATTGCATAATGAGGAAAAAACCTCAGACCGTGTTTTTGGATTAAAACTTCGACCGAGGTATATTTTCGTATAGTTTGTGGTTATATTCTTGTTAGTCACATTTGATAGACTGGAAAATATATTATAGAAATGGAGGTGATTATGATTGGTTTTACTATGAAAAGGACCTTGAAATGGAGCTCAAAGTAGGGAAAATATTTGATTTTTGCTGACGTTCAAGAGTAAAACAAATGGACATTTATTGGACAACTAGCCATTTAATATGCAGTCATGAATGGGTTGACAAGATTACAATATTGCAGTAGTCTGCATAACATTAAATCTTCTATTTTTATTTTAATGAAAATAAAAAATATAAAGTAGGAGTAATATCAGAGAGAGGCCTGGAGACATGACTGATGAACAAAGAAAATGTTATTTTTGAGCCAGTAATGTCTGCATTGTTCATTCTGGACCCTATTTTGAAATTTGCATTAGTTTCTAATTTGTGTGAAATTGGCCAAATTGCCAATTTCTGACCACTTTTTTGGGTAGATGAAATTGGTAAATGGCAGTTTCTTGTACTCAATCTATAGGACAAATGGAGTTCTAAAGAAATAGCTACAAGTTTGGTCGACTGGAACAATGGAATTAGTCAAAAATAGGACTCAGTGGGCGAAATCACCGATTCGTAAATATCACCGAGGTCACTAACTTCGTGGTTGCGTAATTCCGCAAGTTTTCCATCAAATTTCATGCTTTTGGTGTCGTTACCATTGGGAAAAGATTATCACTTCCTAAGTTTTTTTTTTTTTAATATTTTGCAATACCAGAAGATGCCTCAGGATTTGGGGTTGCAACAGTCAAAGGGTTAAACCTATCAGATTTGCTTCTCCCATTATGCATCATGTATAAGCAGGATATTTTTTTTCTTATACCAGGCAATTACCACACTGATCCTACATCTAGGCCAAAATTTACTGCCCAGCTAATACAAGCCAAGCTCAAAACATTACTTGAACAATACTGCCATCAATTAAGTAGATCTATGCAGCTATCTACAATTATACTAACTTGCAAAATTATTATTACAACCATCAGCATTCATTACCACCCATATTGAGCTGTGTGTAATGGTAGAAAGTTGAGAATATAGATACAAGAAAGATGATGAGGGTATCAAATGATTTGATAAAGAAAATTTAAATATTTCACTGGAGGGAGGGAGAATGGAAGAAATGAATGTTCTCATATTTGGGAGATGACTTAACATATGGGTTTATGAAAGATGAGGTAAACCAGAATTCATGAAGGAAAAAAAGGCAAGTGGTGTGTTGAGGTATCTGGAGGCAGAACGTTATCCATGGAGGCAAAGAAGGGAATGCACAAGAGTACGTATAGCGGTATCAACACTACGATGAGTGTGAAGAATGGGTTGTAAATGCTGCAGCAAGGAAGCAGTGGATATGTCTAAGGGCAATGTAGTGTAAATATTATGCAGAGAATTCGTAGTGTGGAAATTAGGAGTTACTAAAAGTATTAGAGGGCTAAAGAGCTGTTGAGGTGGTTTTGATCATTTAGAGAATGGAACAAAGAACGACAGCATATAAATCTATCGGGGAAGCAATGCTAGGTAGGAGTCATCCCCAAAAAGGTTGGAGGGAGGGGGTAAAGGAGGTCCTGTGGGAGAGGGGCTTGGACTTCCAGCAAGCATGTGTGAGCGTGTTAGATGGGAGTGAATGGAGATGAATGGTTTTTGGGACCTGACAAGCTGTTGGAGTATGAGCAGGGTTATATTTTGTGAAGGGATTCAGGGAAACCAGTTAGCCAGACTAGTCCTGGAAATGGGAAGTACAATGCCTGCACTTTAAAGGAGGGGTTTGGGATATTGACAGTTTGGAGGGACTTCTAAACTAGTATCTGAGCACCTTTGCAAAGACTGATTATGTATGAGTGATGGTGAAAGTGATGAATGATAGTACTTTTCTTTTTTGGGTCACCCTGCCTTGGTGGGAAACAACCAATGTGTTAAAAAATATCTTCATTCCAAATTCTGAATATTCATGCAAAACCGTCTTCAAACAACTTCAACAGCCTCCAGCCTCTTCCTCGCTAAATTTTTTTTCTTCAAACCCACATAACTGTTGATACCAGTATCATCATCTTGCCTTCCTACAGGTCTCCACAAATGCCTCAAACCCATTCTTCTTGTCCCCTATTCCATGGTTCACCACCTCAGCTTTTGACAAGAAAGCACACTAGAAAACCTAAATTATTCCCTCAAGACTCAAGAACACCTATCCATCAAATTAAAAAAAAAAAAAAAAAGGTAGCCATGATATTTAGTTTATGAAGGATGAGGTTAACCATAGAACTGATGAAGGAAAAAAAAGGCAAGATGTGCTTCAAGGTATATGTGGAGACATCTAATGGAGGCAAAGAAAAGTGTATGAAAGTAGTGGTGTCAACTTTTATATGGGTGTGAAGCTTGGACAGTAAATGCAGCGAAGAGGCAGTTGGAGGCAGCGGAGATGTTCCGTCTAAGGGCAATGTGTGGTCTAAATATTATGAAGAAAATTCAAAGTGTGGAAATTAGGAGGTGTGGAGTTAATAAAAGTATTAGTCAGAGGGGTTGTTGAAGTGGTTGGTCATTTAGAGAATGGATCAAAGTAGAATGACATGGAGAGCGTATAAATCTGTAGGGGAAGGAAGGGTGGGTGGGGGTTGCCCTGGAAAAGGTTGGAGGGAGGGGGTAAATGAGATTTTGTGGACGAGGGGCTTGGACTGCCAGTGTGCGTGAGCGTGTTAGATAGTGAATGGAGACAAATGGTATTTGGGTCCTGATGATCTGTTGGAGTGTGAGCAGGGTAATATTTAGTGAAGGGATTCAGGGAAACTGGTTATTTTTACATAGCCGACTCGAGTCCTGGAAATGGGAAGCACAATGCCTGCACTTCGGAGGGGTTTGGGATATTGGCAGTTTGGAGTGATATGTTGTGATTCTTTATACATATGTGCTTCTAAACTGTTGTGTTCAGAGCACCTCTGCAAAAACAGTGATTATGTGCAAGTGAAGTGAAAGTGTTGAATGATGAAAGTATTTTCCTTTTGGGGATTTTTTTTTTTCTTTTTGGGTCACCCTGCCTTGGTGGGAGACTGCCGACGTAAAAAAGAAATAGTGTTATATATATATAAAGCTTACTTGAGTATCATTGCCAGTAACAATATTTCCAATTGCTCTTAATGCAGGAGTTACAATTGGTAGGTCATCACAATTCAGCAGCTCCACAAGGCGAGGAACAACTCCAGCATCAACAACTTCCTGGATTTTCTCATTTGTTCCATCAGTTAAGTATGACAATGCCCAACAAGCATCAGCTGAAAAGTCAGAAAGAGCACCATGATCTTTAAAAACTATACAAACAGGAACATTGTCAAAAGTCAACTTTCACAAGTTTTTCACAACAGTTTCAAATATAAACTTTGTAAACCTGCCCCTTAACCTACTACACTTACTAGGCAAGGCAGAGTAATGCTCATTTTTCTATTAAAACGAGGGAAGATGTATTGGTAAGCATACCGTGTTTATTGAAGCATCTGAAAACAAAATATTACCCACGGAGGTAAAAAGGTTATGTATCAGTACATATACCAACACCCGTGTGTGAAGAATGTTGTAGCAAGAAGACTGGGAGCAGAGGAGATGTCATGCCTGAAGGTAATGTCACGTGGGGTTCAAAACGGACTGGGAAAAGAACTTACGTAAGATGTTAAGTACGTATATTAGACGGAATATGGGGAGCACCAAAGCCTGACCTGCCCTCTCTCCTGTCTATACTTCAACTGCCCTCGAGTTGTGCCTAGGGGCGAGTGGCCTTCAAAACATACCAGGTCAGTGGTAACAGTCGGTGAATAACTGTCTGATTCATGCAGACAGTCATTACTGACACTGGTACTACCGAGAGCTCAGCGACTAACACATGGCATCCCGACATACAGCTAATACAAACTAGAGACAGCAGGCGTACAGCCTGGGGCTGATTCTATACAATGTCCAAGTACACAACAATTGAACATTATAACAGACAATAGGAGAATATTGGGATGGAAGCCTCATAGAATGAGGCTCAATATTGGGATTATACAATAAAAGTGATAAAAAAAAAAGTTGATCAATCAATCTGTATTCGTGTGATCTATGGATTCTGAGGAAGGAATATATACAAAAGTGTTTAACAGAAAAGTCAGACTTGGTGCACTCAAATCCAGATTTAAATCTCAGAATTCGGAGAGAAGGTGAAAAAAAAAATTCTTGAATATTAATAAGTTGATATGGTGAGTGGAATTCAAAACATACTAGGTCAGCAGTAACAGTCAGTGAATCACACAGATGGTTAGCGAGTCATTACTACTGACTGGTACCGGTAACTACCGAGAACTGGTACTGTGTGTGGTGTTAATATCATGCAGAGAATTCATAGTCTGGAGTTTAGGAAGGGAGGGGGTACTGAGATTACAATACAATGAACTGAAGAGGGGTTACCAAGGTGGACTGAACAAGAATGGAGAAAAATGGGATGATTTACAGGGTGTGCAAATCTACAGTAGGAAAGGTGGGGGGGTAGTGGTCATCTTAGGGTAGATGGAGGGAAGGGGTAAATGAGGTTTTTAATACAACAGGCTTGAACATCCAATAGGCACATGTAAAAGTGTTAAGAGTGGAGGAAACTGATTTTACATGCTGTTGGCATGAGCAAGGTAACATTTATGAAGGGATTCTGAGAAATCAGTTAGTTGAACTTAAGTCCTAGAGATGGGAGTAGTGCCTGCAGTTTTGAACTGTAGTATGGCATGCCTCTGGCAAGTGACAGATTGAAGAGTTTATGTTACCTTACCTCAATGTGAAAAAGCAGTCAATATAAAAAAATTAGCTCATTTGTTTGGTAGAAGTTGGTCAAGAACAGATTTTCTATTTACTATACATTTTTATGGTTGAATAAATAAATTCCTTAGTTTTTAACCAAATGCACTCACTGACCACACTGTACACAGCTCTTGGCTATTTGGAATGAACTTAACCACAGAGTTAATAGTTGAAAATATCATGACTACATTTTCACTGCTTGCCATCAGGATGGGATGGGCCTACATGGCTAGCTGGTACAGCTGGTTGCATCACCCATTACTCTTGTTTTCACTATCACCTTGCTTCATCTCTGTATATTAACCATGGAATGAAAAGAATGATAGTAACACTGGAGGCATTACAAGGGGTGGGGTGTAAGAGACAGGCATCATATTAGCTATGCCATTTTCTATGAAAAGAATAGATGGTTATCATACTTACATCAAAAACTTTAGTTTGTTTATTTAGGTTTCAGGTACATTAAAAAATTACGTGGTCTTATAGAACATGTAGGCACAAAGTAGATTATGCAGTTTTAACCTTGGATAGCCTATTCAAATCAACACTTACAAGTTTGAGGGTCTAAACCTCACTAGGCCTAGTAGGACAACATGAACCCCCTCCACACATCTCTAGAGTAACAAACTTAAAATGTAAATTATAAAGAATAATGACAACTAAAAATTTACTCTAGTAATGCACGACACCCCCCCCCCCCACTGCATCATGTTTTCAGGTATAGCTCGGTTTTCCTGGAGCCTACCCAATGTGAATAGCTGTCTACTGCACATCTTTTTGGACCCCACCACTAAAAAAATGTATACAAGTAACTGTGGTGTGAATATAATGCAGAGAATTCGTAATTATAATCAAGGGGGAAGCACTAAACCCGTAGGATTATACAGTGCCTATGGGGGGATGGAAGGCATTCAGGCTTAATTCAGGGAACTGGAGCACAGATCCAATTCCCTAGATCAAGAGCCCCTCACCAGCGTCAAGGAGCCTTCCTTGAGGGGAGAATTCGTAGTTTGGAAGTTAGGAGGAGGTGCGGGATTACCAAAACTGTTGTCCAGAGGGCTGAGGAAGGGTTGTTGAGGTGGTTCGGACATGTAGAGAGAATGGAGCAAAACAGAATGACTTCAAGAGTATCAGTCTGTAGTGGAAGGAAGGTGGGGTAGGGATCGGCCTAGAAAAAGTTGGAGGGAGGGGGTAAAGGAGGTTTTGTGTGTGAGGGGCTTGGACTTCCAGCAGGCATGCATGAGTGTGTTTGATAGTGAATGGAGACAAATGGTTTTTAATACTTGACGTGCTGTTGGAGTGTGAGCAAAGCAACATTTATGAAGGGGTTCAGGGAAACCATCAGGCCGGACTTGAGTCCTGGAGATGGGAAGTACAGTGCCTGCACTCTGAAGGAGGGGTGTTAATGTTGCAGTTTAAAAACTGTAGTGTAAAGCACCCTTCTGGCAAGACAGTGATGGAGTGAATGAGGGTGAAAGTTTTTTTTTTCGGGCCACCCTGCCTTGGTGGGAATCGGCCAGTGTGTTAATAAAAAAAAATAACTGGTTAAATTTCATGGGAGCTTACCTTGAACTTCTTTATCAGGATGGCAAATTAAGTGACTCAAAGCAGGTAAACATTGCTTTACGACTTCAAAAGGTGGCGAAGGATTCTTGTTCCGGCACAGGTTGCTTAACGTCCATGTTACATTACGTAAGAACGAGTGCTGTGGATAAATGTCCAATAAGATTTAAATACGAGGAAGTGCCCCACAAACTACACAACATCGACAAAAATTAAATTCACAGTAAACACCTACCCAATCTCACTGCCTCTACCCAATACTATTACAGTAGCATTAGAGAAAATTTAATAATTTACCTCTGTTTCTGGTTTGATAAGTTCAAGAAGGGGTTTCACAATGCCAGCTTTAATAACAAAGTCTCTTAGATCAGGTCCATCACCAGCAATATTTCCCAATGCCCAGACAGCCTGCTCAGCTACATTAGTATGCGGCGATCTCAGTAGCTTAACGAAGGAGATAACTGCACCAGAGCCTGAAAATAAAATTTTGTACTTGCTCTCCTGTTAAGTATTTTTTTTTTGCTCTGCAACATTTGGGAAGGAGAGGAAAAGAAATATAACAAGGCAATGATATACCTCTGATAAATTTTTAAGTACTCCCAGAGCTCAGCCTTGAGCCAGGCTAAGTCTAGTGCTGGCCTAGTCAACCAGTGTTGCTGCTGGTGACCAGCTACCCCACATCCCTCAGCCTGGTTGATCTGGCACCTGGTGAAGATATTTGTCCAGTTTCCTCTAAGACTTTACACTTGTCCAGCAGTGTTTGATATCTTCTAGCAAGATGCTGAATAGTATGGGGGCCATGGAAATTTATACAGCAATCCCTTATTGTGCCCACTGCATCCCTACTTTTCACAGTTATTTTGCACCTTCCATATCCCTCACTCCAGTATGTTATGCAGTGCACAGATTTGGGACAAGGTCCTCAAGTACTTTCCAGGTATATCCTGCATCTCACTCCGCTTCATTTAAGACTAAGGTGCTCCCAGTAATTTAAATGTTTATTGGTTTTATGCAGGCTGTAAATGATTTTGTTCCAGCTGATATTTTTCCTGACCTGAACAGAGCCATGAACAGCAATATTCCAAATGAGGGAACAGATTTGATGCATCACCACTGGCATCATTTCCCTTGTTTTGAAGGTTCTCATTACCCATCCCCATCATTCTCTTGGCTGCTGTAACCATCTTAATTTATTCTCTGAAGCATCAGCTGACAAATTTTCCCAGTTTTTCACATTCCTCTCATTCTATGACTATCCTCTTCATTCTTTCCATACTCCATACTTAAGCAGCAGGAAATATCACCACTAAATATTTTCTCCACTGCCCACTGGAAAACAGTTTACATCTTCCTGCAACTTTTTCAGCATCTTCTACCAAAGAAACTAATGCTTATTTTATCACCTGCAAATGATATAAAACCGACTTGTGGTTTTTATCAATGTCTTCTGAGGATAAATGGCAGAGGTGCCAGGACAATGCCTTGGGATATTGCTTTTTAACCTCACTGATGCTGGATTTTGCTGTTTATTATGTACTTAGTGTAATGTTAGGAACCAAAAAATCTATCTGCGTAATTTCCTCGATTCCTATGGCCCTAAATTTGTGTACACGGCTCATGACTGCATTTGTCAAGCTTCACAAAATCTGTATTACACATCTGCAGTTTGGTTGTCTTCCAATGTTCTGCAATTTTAGTCAGTGGTTCAGCAGCTGTGACGGGCATAATCGCCCCACTAAAACCATGCTGGTTAGAGTTATGCAGGTTGAGCTGTTCTAGGAAATTTGTAATCTAACTCGTATTATGTGGGAAGTTAGGGCTAGTGGTCTAATTTTTGGCAAGTGCTCTACTACCTCCCTTATGCATAGGAGCTATGTGTGCACTAAGTTGTCTGGTATTTTACCTAAATCTATGCTTTCTCCAAAGAATACCGAGGACTCGTGCTAGTGGTACTCTGCACATTTTATTAATAGAGCATTCCATGAATCTGGTCCATGTGCTGAGTGGACATAACTAGAGGGCATTCAGAAGGTCAATGCCCTCACAGCCCAGTCCATGTTTTCAATTTCTTTGAAATTCTAGGGGATTAGTATTAATGTTAGTTGGTGTGTACTCCAAAGAAAAAATCTCCATTGGCCTGAACATGTTTAACCAACTTCCATTCTACCCACTGCCTTACTTCACATCCATACATGAATTACCCACAGACAAGCTTATGACTAATACCGAGCCTTTAATTCATTACAACCACCTCTTCCTTACTCCATTCCAGGTTGAGCTTTTTTACCCTTACCTCAAAGGTATATATACATACCTATTTCAAAGCAACAAATAACTGCAGAGAACTAACTTGGTTAGCACATGCTGCCACAAACTTAATAGTCTATAGTTGCCTGGTAACAAGGGAGAACCTGTGATGAAGTTTCCAGTATTTTCCTGGAACCACAAGCTCCAACTTAACGGACAGAAGCCCAGATAAATATTTTAAGCCTCAACTGGTCACAATTGTAAATTACCTGCTACAGCATGAGTTTGCTGAGAGGTGCCAGAAGCAATGTTGGTCAGTGCCCAGGCTGCTTCAAACTGCAAAGCCGGGCTGTACAAGAAAAATGAGATTTAAAACAAAATAAAAGTGAAATATAAAAATTTAGGTTAGTTTATAGTCAGATGCACACTATAATCATTAATGACAAAAAGACTACTGTGAACCACCACATCCAACACAGAACGTGCAAGATTGGGTAAAACAGAGCACTTTAATATCCTCAGATGACGCGCATGTGCAAGTTACTCATCATACTATACGTTTCTGAAATATTCATGAAGTTTTAAACCCATGGAGGGAAGGGGGCATCTGTAGCACCTGGCCAATAGGCTCCCCCCCCCCCCATTCAGATTTGATACAAGCTACTTACTTGTCTGCTCTCTCCAGGAATTGTACAAGAGGATTCACCATTCCAGCTTCTATAATAGCATCTATGGGAGGGTTGCGTTCACGAGAAAGCATCTTTCTTGCTGCTTGTGTAGCAATGACCTGCCTACTGCTATCTGTACTAATAATGCCATTTATGATTTCTTCCAGGCTCATCACAGGACCCTACAAATACCAAAAATTACATGCATTACATATAAAAATAACAGCTTAGGCCACTGCCCAGTCTACCTGGTTAGGCCAATACTATACTCCTAAAAGAATATTAATTAGTACATTTAGCTTATCAACCGTATGTGCGCAACACCAGTATGGAACCTGCACCTTAAAAAAAAAAAAAAGTGTAGAAGAGCAAGGCTTCTTCCAGAGATAAGGGGTATGAGCTACAAGAGGCTATTGGAATTTGAAGACAAAGGACAAAAGACATTCAAAGCTTTCAGGAATTAATAGGGTGGACATTAACAAGCCATGTGAAAAACTGGTACTTGGGTACTGCTGAGTGTGACACGAGCCACAGGGATGTCAGAAGTACATCTCAGTGGTTAAGTGAAATTATCTAAATTGGTCAAGGCAGGCTCCTTACAATTTTAATAGAAATGATGGGGCCAATAAGGAAAGGAGGGAGTGCCAAGCTGAGAAATGGGGACAGGTACAAAAACATGATAATTAATTTATCAAAATTAAGAGTTAACACCATTATAATCATTGGGGAGCACTAAACCCATAGGATTGTCTCAAGGAACTCATCTCTAGTGAAGGGGTGGTGGCCCATACAGTACATAGTATTATACAAGACTACCAGGATCTAGAGTGATAGGCATTTATAAGAATATCCCCATTTCAAATACATGGGAAGTTAGGGGATCAATTCAAGAATGGTTGTAAAGGAGGGAAGGAAAAGGGAGGTTCTGAGTGCCAGGGGGCTTTTGACAATAGGCTTGTACTCTTAAATGTACTTGCCTATTGGTGGTTGCTGGGGTTGAGTCTTGGCTCCTACCTCTCAACTTGCCTGTGAATGTTTAAGTGGAGGAAAGGGCTTTAAGATTTTACATTCTGTTGGAGCGAGCAAGGTAACATTTATGAAAGGATTCAGGGAAACCAGTTAGCAGGATTAGTCCTGGAGGAAGTACAGTGGAACCTCAAATATCGAACTTAATCCATTCCAGGAGCTAGTTCTAAATTCGAGGAGTCTGAAGAGCAAAGCAATATTTCCCATAAGAAATAATGGAAATGCAATTAATCCGTTCCAGAAATGGGGAAAAAAAAATTTATGGAGAAATTATAGTTTTACATACAACAAATAGTGTTCAATTGTGTATTAATAAATTTAAATAAACAAAATAACATTTTTAATCTTTATTGAAGATTGGTGATGGCATCTGGAAGATAGGGAGGAGAGGGAGGTGGGGTTAGTGTTTGGAATGAGAATCCCCCTCCTGTCTACAGTCCCGTTAGTCTCAAAATAACTGTCCACAGTCCTCTGTACATCCTGGCAAGCTCAAGTCTTGCACCACTCATACTTTATTTCCTTCACGTCTATGGCGTTTCTCACTTTCTTTACCACAGGGGTACCACTAGCAAGTTTCTTTGGGCCCATGGTAGCTTATTTCACAGTCCCACAGGCACTAAACACAAGCACTAAAATGTTTAAATGAGAGCGCAGGTTAGTGGTCACTCGGACAACTAAACCCGACTGGCTCACGGCGCCTGCGTGGGGACACGGACAGAGCGGGCTGCCGGACAGGTCCGGTACCTGGATGTTCGAAAAAAGGGGCTAGTTCGATAATAGGGACAAAGTTGGTTCGAAAAAAGCATTCCATTTTCGAAAAGTTCAATAAGTGATACGTTCAAAATTTGAGGTTCCACTGTACAGTGCCTGCACTGGTATGGAAATGCTGCTGTTCAGAGTGTTACCATAGCTGTGATATCTATGCTTCTGGCCAGAAAGTGAATGACCAGTTTTCTCTTTTGGTCAATCCTACCTTGATAGGAAAAATCCAACATGTTAAAAGAAATTAGCCCTGTTCCTCATTTTAACTTAAGATATGGAAACATACAGCAAATGGCCAATTCAGTCCTATCACTGGACACACAGATACTGTATTATATCACAAGCAGCTGTTTATTATAGGGAATGCTACACCTGTATGGATTATACAGCACCTGGGGGAGAGGGGGAGGGGAAGACATGGAAGGCATTCAGGCTTAATTCTGGGAAATGGAGCACATATCCAATTACAGAGATGAGAGTCCTTCACCAGCATCACCCTTGAGGGGCAAGTATCTGTAAAGGGCATGACCTGTATACTGGAATTTGATACAAAACTACAAGTCATTATTTTAAATCTTATGCAAATATTCATTCAGAAGGGATCTAACAAATGCATGCATACTTACTGAATATTCCTTTTATGCATGTAGAGCACTCTTATTGGTAGAGATTAGACAATAGCCGTAATCTTGTGGCTAAATTAATGCTTCAGTTTTTAAACCATGTATACCAGTTGACTATTTGCTAAAACATGTCCTACCTCAGCAAAACAGTAAAATTTGTTAATTTAAAAAATTTAAACAAAGTTTTAGGTATAGAAATTAAAAATACAGTTTTCCCTTTTTTAAACTTGCCTACATTATAACCCAGATTCATTGAGTGATAAATAACCTAAAGGGAGAAGCCAGGTTCACGGGGTCGACTTCTTTATTTTTCAACCGATTACGTTCATTTTTGGTGTACTATTAGAAGCTTATATAAAACCTCCTGTGCTGAAGTTTCAATCATATCGGCCAAAAAGTAAATAAAATATGCAAAATTTACAAAAAATGCATTTGGCAGGGGAGTCCTACTCAGTGGTACTTGGAAAAGTGGTTTTGACACTTGCTGCTGATAGAACACCTCTAATTCCATCACTGTAAGTGTACCAATTCTAAAATAAACCTTATCTTCATGCTAAAAAAAAATAAGTTTAATAACTTTTTTTGTCATATTAGAAGATGTCGGTCTTGTTGCCCACATAAATCTAAAAATATTTGGGATAGTTCAGAAAGGTACACTCTACCTTGTAAAGCAATCATTCTCCTATGTTTGTGAAAATCAAGTCAATTCAATCATAAATAAAGATGGTTTCCCCCTAAATAGGTAAATAACTTACTTTCGAGATATAGGCCGAAGCGCGCGGCACCCCAGGTGCCCAGGAAATATTTTTTTCCCCCGAAAAATTCGCTTTATTTTACACTTTTTCCGCGACCTACGAGTGTTTATTACAGTCAACCATTGTAAATCCGTTTTCTCTCATCACTGATGAGAGAGGGCGGACCCTCTCTTCACCTTCAGGGGAAATATCGATAGAAATTTTTTCCTCGGAGCATCATATTATGCTATATATTATTTAAGGTGTACTTTTTATGTTTATATGCTATTATTATATTGCATTATATCATAATAGATCAATTGTGATAGATAAATAAGCCTTATAATTCATATTAGCGTGGGTATGGAATATTTTGTTGGCTGGAGGTGTCGGCCATTTTGGGTACTATACCCAGGGTACGTGATTGGTTACTTGATCATATTAGCTCAGCCCACTCTGGCATGATCTCAGATGGTGAATTTGTATTATATTAGACAAAGATATAAGAAAACGATAAAAATAACACGGGGGGGGAAAAACGTAAACAAAGCCGAGTCAGCGCTTCTTACGCAATATGACGCGTCAGCACTGTCACCATGCCTGTTATAAATGGCTGTAATTCCTTTTAGAAACATCGTACAAGGATAATAATTATACCAGAGTGTAGCCAGAAAGTTCAGCTATTTTTTGGTAACAACTCCATTTTCATATTTTTCCGATTTTTTTTTTTTGCTCCGCGCGCGTGAACCTGACCGCTCCCAAAATATTACAGGTCGAGTAAACAACTTGAGCAGCAGGATAGTTAAGCACAATTTCCAACAAATTCCTTTGCTGCAGGCCAGCAAATCACTTCATACATTCCTTCAAACAATTATCCACCATCAAGTACCTTACTATACAGACCCAGATACCCTCATTACAGTGATTAACTGTCTTGAGTTAGAAACTAAGCAAGGAGTGAGGAAGAATCCAGCTATTGCTTACAACTACCCATTTCTACTGCACCATTACTATACTGTAGCTAACAATGTACTATTTGCAGGCAAAAACATTACAGGAGTAAAATAATGAGTAGTGTCAAATTACTATACATGAAATTATGGCATCCAATTCTAAATTGTTTGGAAAATAAGATGTCCTAAACATCCAAGCAAAAAAAATGGGAAAGCCTCCTTAAAATCTACAACCTTTAATGCCATAAACTACTCAAATTGAGAAAATATACTGTACCGTAGTATTATGTTCCTGAAGAGGAGAAGTTGGATCATCTAGAGAGACATTTCTTCTTTTCAAAAGCTGGTCATCTTTTTTAGCCTTGCGTAACTCATGCTGGTTTCCTGCCGTCGTCTGCGCATCTCCTGTGGCAATTTAAGATGAAGTACATTACCAAAGGTGAAATTCTAAAAGTAAAACTGGATAATATATTCTCAGCTTTGCTATGTTCAAGTAGCAGATGAACACTTACCTCCATGTCTTTACCAGCATTTTTAAAGCTCTTCATGCGGCTTGGGCCGGGGCTGTTTTCACGGGCAACAGCCGGGGCTGGCATTCTGCTGGAGGCCTCCAGGCTAGCGATTTACACAACTTTCTGGTTTATTTTAAGAGCGAGGGCCTCCCGCAATCCAATTATTAAAGGGACGAGTTTTTCTTTATAAAATCTACTTTGGGTACCTGCAAGAAAATTTTGGGTAAGGAACTGTACAGCTAAATTTAAAACAATGAAAATTTAAATACCTATATCTGTCAGTGCCTGGCATTATTTTTGGCTAAGATGCAAGACTCAAATGAATTTAGGTAAAATGGAGAACAAGGGACAGATTGAAAGTCTGGTAATTGGTCTTTCAATTAAATTAGCAAACCAGACCTAGCAATAGGTGGCAAACCACTTTAAATAGTTTGCAGTATGTATAAGTTTGCACATTTTAGCATTAGGACCAGCAATGTCCTTTGAACAATACTGACAATACTAAGAAATTTGTGTAAACATTTCAATAGGCCTACCTTACTATATAGGCCCTAATCTTCCAGTCATTCTGTAGAGTAAGCCTGCTAATACTACTCAGTCCCCCCTTGGAGCATATCTGTTGTGGGCCTAGTTTTCGCTCATATCCACCCAAGGGCACTGCCTCATGTTAGATAAACTCTGCAATACCCCAGCCTTCCAGACAAGTTCCCCTCCCGGACTGGTTTCGGCACACCTCACACTGCCCACTATGAACCCCTTTATTCCAATAAAGACAGCTAGCCAATGCCTGTATATCTACACTACCCGACAAGCAACTAGATCAACCCAAAAGGCAGACGAAACAATTCCACAGGTTAACCCCCTTTCTAAGTTTTAAGCAAAGCGCACTTAAACGTGCTGCAAGCTGGAAATTTTGGTCTAGATATGAAAGAATGAGTGTTTAATCATTCCTGGTTTTCAGAAATAGAGACCTGGAGAGTCATTAATGAACAGAGGATAGGTTGCTTTAGTTTCTGGAGTACACCTAAAGGGGGTTTCACAGGGACAACACCCCCACGGCCCAATCTGATCAGGCCTCAAGGTCCATCAGAGCCTGATCAACCAGGCTGTTGCCCAACACTTGTGTCATGCTAGTGCCACCCCTGCTTTTCATTGGGGGAATGTTGCATAGCCTGCTTAGTCTTACTTTTATAGGGAGTGATTTTCATGTGCAAGTTTGGTACTAATCCCTCTAGGATTCTCCATCTCATAGTGCATCTCTCCTGCCTGCATTCTAGGGAGTACAGGTTGAGTAACTTCCAGCATTCCCATTAGAACATAAGAACGAAGGAACACTGCAGAAGGCCTACTGGCCCATGCGAGGCAGGTCCAAGTCTCCTACCGGCTTAAGCCAATGCACCCAACCTAGTCAGGTCAGGTCATTGACTTAAGGGAGGAACACAGCAACCGACCTGGTAGCACAAGCTATCAGGTCCAACTCGCACCCACCCACATCCACTCGTGTATTTATCCAACCTATTTTTAAAGCTACACAACGTTCTGGCCTCTATAACTGTACTTGGGAGTTTGTTCCACTCATCTACATGAGGTTTTATCACAGTTATGCATGCCATGAAGGTTCTATGTCCATTTTCTAGGTCAGCAGTTTATTTGGGGTTCTGTTCTAGTTTAATGGGCTGTTTCTTGGATTCACAAACAGAATGGAAGGCATCCTAGCAAAAATTATTGAACTAAGCAACAGAACTGGTTTAAAATAGAACCACAAAAATCACTGATGCATAAATGGTATCTGGAACAACTTTGCACCTGCATAATTCAGCAAGTTTGCCACTGAATGTTGCATTTTAGGTTTTTACCATCAAAAATATTTTCTACTTCAGTTAAATCCAGACAGAACTTAACTTAAAAGAGCTCCAACAGTAAAAGTCCTCAGGTTGTACTATGTATTTCTGGTTCTCATTGAGAATACACTTCAGTTCTGGTCTCCATATTACACAAGGGACAAATGCAATGGAAAGTAGTCATGAAAGATAAGGGTATGCACGGCTAAACTTTTCTTCAGTAAATGCAAATGCATGTACATTTACATTAAAGGACATTTGTTCCCATATATTTAACCTGTTTTTAAAATAACAGGTTATATAAATACACAAGTGGGTGTGGGCGAGTGAGTTGGGCCTTACTAGCCTGTGCTAGTGGGTCTGATGCCATGGTCCTTAAGTAGCTGTGACCTGACCTGACTAGGTCCAGTCACTGGCTTAAGCCAGTGGGAAACTTGGACCTGCCTCACATAGGCCAGTATGCCTGTTACAGTATTCCTTATGTTGAAATGCGTAACCAGAGCAGGACTACAATCTACTCGTTATATAGATTTATAAAGGATATAGAAAAACACTAGCTTGGCAGCAGCTTTGGGCGAGTGGATCAAACTCCAAACAAAAGTACTTTGGGTAGCTTAAAGTTGAACAGGTAATTTGTATAGCATGGGTCAGTAGGCCTGTAGCAGTGCAATCTACCTCAGTCCTGCCAGGAAATATTGGGAAGGACAGGCAACAGTAGTAGGTAAAGACACGTACAAAACTAGTATATTGTGAAAACTCGACTAGCAGCCAGGACGTGCCCCTAAGTTTATTTAAATTACACACAAGTAAAATTATAGTGTAAATTACCCAGGATAACCCCAAAATAAAAGTCAGCCATAAGAATAAGAAAGTGACGCCCATTGGGGTCATTTTAATATCTTAATTCTTAAGTTAAAAAAATAAGAAAAAAAAATTATCCAAATACCAATATAACTTAAACAAGAAATAATTACTGTAGATATATGTAGTTTGTACGTACCTTTAAAAAAAAAAATTCCACCAAGAATCCAATACTTATAACCGTCAAATGTTTCTAGGAGTAAAAACCCGCTCAGTATTAGTATAACAACCTCAGCGAGGATATTAAGACGGGTAGTTTAGTAATTAAGGTGTCCACCAGCACACAACTGACCGTCTCCACCCATGCCATCCATGCCATAAGACACTGCCATACTGACTTCTCTTCACTCTGGCCACTCAAAACACCCACAAATAAACTTAAAAACTACACAAGTACAGTTTGGAAACCAAGTTGCCCATGGTAATGTTGAGAGTCAGCCGCCACACTCACGTACAACAATTCCCTCCCAGGGTACACTAGGCGCCATTCCTCACGCACATGGCAATCGCATGTCAACCTTAATTTCCACCGCCTAGGCAGTGCCACACTCCTCTTGCCGCACAAGCAGAAGGTCCGGGTGGCACTTCAAGTTGCGTAAATAGGTGGAGAGGCAACTTACCTGGAGAGAACAGGTGGAGTTCTTTGTGTGGTGTGGAGCGCCAGAGTGAGACACACCGCTGCTGCTGCTGTTGCTGTTGCTGCTGCACCTCCACGCTCATTGGTCCATTCAAATCCACCTCCCACTTACCCTTTACTCTCAAACACACTTAATTAATTTCCTGCCCTCCCAAAATATGCTTGAAATAAAGATTAACACTGCCTTTTCTCGGAAAAATTACTCTGGGATGTTTTCGTGCTTACAGAGCATGGAAAAAAATTATGGAAACCATAGACTTAATTTGTAAACGAAAAAGCTGGCCTCTGATTGGTGGAGAATTTAAATGTCCGCTGAACTCCCCCCTTCTCCCACACCCCACTTGTTATTTTCAGGAACTTTTAAATTACAGAAATATCGTCCACATAATACAACTACCACATTTTAAATTACATAGAATACATCCCCCGGCTTTCCATACTTGTACTTACTAGGATATTTAATAAAAATGGTTGAAAAAAGTGGGTGAAAGACATGAATACTTCACAATGCAGTTGCAAAATCAATATTATTACTGTGATCCTCAACAACAGGTTGCATCCCCTTTTTTTTCCTCTCTCTCCTTAATATGTTTCTGTTAACTGAAATAACGTAACATTATTTAGGTAAAGTCGATGGTAATCTTATCGTACTTGATTTTACCTCATCAAAACAAATATTCTCTCTCTCTCTCTCTCTCTCTCTCTCTCTCTCTCTCTCTCTCTCTCTCTCTCTCTCTCTCTCTCTCTCTCTCTCTCTCTCTCTCTCTCTCTCTCTCTCTTGTATGCCAATATATATCAGTGTCAACAGTGTATCAAAGTCAGCTGTGTCTGTTAGTCAGCTGTGTCATTATCAGCTGTGTCTGTTAGTCAGCTGTGTCATTATCAGCTGTGTCTGTTAGTCAGCTGTGTCATTATCAGCTGTGTCTGTTAGTCAGCTGTGTCATTATCAGCTGTGTCTGTTAGTCAGCTGTGTCATTATCAGCTGTGTCTGTTAGTCAGCTGTGTCATTATCAGCTGTGTCTGTTAGTCAGCTGTGTCATTATCAGCTGTGTCTGTTAGTCAGCTGTGTCATTGTGCAAGAAAGGTATAAAATACCGACAATATGAAAGTTAAGACACATGTGCAACATCTGGATATCTTTATTGTAGACGTTTCGCCATCCAGTGGCTTTATCAATACAGATTCTAGGACATAATAGGAAGACAGTAGAACTATATACAAAAGATGAGGTAATCAGTCCCTCGGCCTTGGAGTTAGTGTTCACAGCATCGTGGTGGAGGAGAGTCTGGAGCAAAAGCAAGAAGACTGGCGTTTTTATAGGCGTCAGTGGATGGGACGGGCAGCAGACGAGGGCAGTCACTGGTAGGCGGGATTCCCCAGTGGAAGTAGGTCCTTCCCAAAGAGATGGGTTAGTTGCAGCAGCAACTAACCCATCTCTTTGGGAAGGACCTACTTCCACTGGGGAATCCCGCCTACCAGTGACTGCCCTCGTCTGCTGCCCGTCCCATCCACTGACGCCTATAAAAACGCCAGTCTTCTTGCTTTTGCTCCAGACTCTCCTCCACCACGATGCTGTGAACACTAACTCCAAGGCTGAGGGACTGATTACCTCATCTTTTGTATATAGTTCTACTGTCTTCTATTATGTCCTAGAATCTGTATTGATAAAGCCACTGGATGGCGAAACGTCTACAATAAAGATATCCAGATGTTGCACATGTGTCTTAACTTTCATATTGTCGGTATTTTATACCTTTCTTGCACAACTTGTCAGACACTGCAACATCATGGAATCTTGGTTCAGAGGACATCTACAAGACCTTCTTCACGGCTGCTGCAACTAACCCATCTCTTTGGGAAGGACCTACTTCCACTGGGGAATCCCGCCTACCAGTGACTGCCCTCGTCTGCTGCCCGTCCCATCCACTGACGCCTATAAAAACGCCAGTCTTCTTGCTTTTGCTCCAGACTCTCCTCCACCACGATGCTGTGAACACTAACTCCAAGGCCGAGGGACTGATTACCTCATCTTTTGTATATAGTTCTACTGTCTTCCTATTATGTCCTAGAATCTGTATTGATAAAGCCACTGGATGGCGAAACGTCTACAATAAAGATATCCAGATGTTGCAGCTGTGTCATTATCAGCTGTGTCTGTTAGTCAGCTGTGTCATTATCAGCTGTGTCTGTTAGTCAGCTGTGTCATTATCAGCTGTGTCATTATCAGCTGTGTCTGTTAGTCAGCTGTGTCATTATCAGCTGTGTCTGTTAGTCAGCTGTGTCATTATCAGCTGTGTCTGTTAGTCAGCTGTGTCATTATCAGCTGTGTCTGTTAGTCAGCTGTGTCATTATCAGTTGTGTCTGTTAGTCAGCTGTGTCATTATCAGCTGTGTCTGTTAGTCAGCTGTGTCATTATCAGCTGTGTCATTATCAGCTGTGTCTGTTAATCAGCTGTGTCATTATCAGCTGTGTCAGTCAGCTGTGTCAGTCAGCTGTGTCAGTGTCAACTGTGCATCAGTGTTAGATGCATCAGTATCAGCTTCAGCTGCATCAGTATCAGCGTCAGCTTCATCAGTATCAGTGTCAGCTGCATCAGTATCAGCGTCAGCTTCATCAGTATCAGCGTCAGCTGCATCAGTATCAGCGTCAGCTTCATCAGTATCAGCGTCAGCTGCATCAGTATCAGCGTCAGCTGCACCAGTATCAGCGTCAGCTGCATCAGTATCAGCGTCAGCTGCACCAGTATCAGCGTCAGCTGCATCAGTATCAGCGTCAGCTGCACCAGTATCAGCGTCAGCTGCATCAGTATCAGCGTCAGCTGCATCAGTATAAGCTGTGTATCAGTCTCAGTTGTATATGTCAGCTGTGTCAATGTTAACTGAGTGTCAGCTGTGTGTCAGTGTTAACTGAGTGTCAGCTGTGTGTCAGTGTTCACTGTGTGTCAGCTGTGTGTCAGTGTTAACTGAGTGTCAGCTGTGTGTCAGTGTTAACTGAGTGTCAGCTGTGTGTCAGTGTTAACTGTGTGTCAGCTGTATGTCAGTGTTAACTGTGTGTCAACTGTGTCAGTGTTAAGTGTGTGTCAGTTGTATGTCAGTGTCAACTGTGTATCAGTGTTAACTGTGTATCAGTGGTAACTGTGTGTCAGTGTTAACTGTGTATCAGTGTTAACTGTGTGTCTGTGTTAGCTGTGTGTCTTTGTTAACTGTGTGTCAGTGTTAACTGTGTGTCAGTGTTAACTGTGTGTCTGTGTTAACTGTGTGTCTTTGTTAACTGTGTGTCATCTGTGTCACTGTCAGCTGTGTCAGTGTTAACTGTGTGTCAGCTGTGTGTCAGTGTTAACTGTATGTCAGTGTTAACTGTGTGTCAGTGTTAACTGTGTGTCAATGTTAACTGTGTCAGCTGTATGTCAGTGCTAACTGTGTGTCAGCTGTGTGTCAATGTTAACTGTGTGTCAGCTGGTGTCAGTGTTAACTGTGTGTCAGCTGTATGTCAGTGTTAACTGTGTCAGTGTCAGCTGTATGTCAGCATTAACTGTGTCAGTGTCAGCTGTGTCAGTGTTAACTGTGTCAGCTGTATGTCAGTGTCAGCTGTGTGTCAGTGTTAACTGTGTCAATGTCAGCCGTGTCAGTGTCAGTTGCATATCAGTGTCAGCTGTAAGCCAGTGTCAGCTGTGTGTCAGTGTTGTGTCAATGTTAGCTGTGACAGTGTCAGCTGTGTGTCAGTGTCAATTGTTTCAGCAGTGTAAGCTGTGTGTCAGTGTCAGCTGTTTCAGCACTGTCAGCTGTGTCAGTGTCAGCTATGTCAGTGTCAGCTGTGTCAGTACCACTTATACTGAATTATATTCGTGGGGAGGGTTCGATACTCAGCTCCTGGGTCTGCCTCTTAACCTCAAAAATTGGTCGGCATATATTGGTTCCTGGCTTGCTGGGCCCTGTCATACCTACTCCTGAATCCATGTATGGAGTTCGCCTTCATCACCTCCTCAGGCTCATTCCACTTATTTACCGCTGAAGAAATATTTCCTAACATCTACTTTGCTCACCATTCTTCCTAGCCTCCACCTATGTCCTCTTGCCCACGAGCCTCACATTGTAAACAATCTTGACCTGTCTGCTCCGTGGACGTCTGCCAGTAGGCCAGTAGCCCAGGCTAGTAGGCCAGGGTAGTAGGCCAGGCTAGTAGGCCAGGCTAGTAGGCCAGGCTAGTAGGCCAGGCCAGTAGGCCAGGCTAGTAGGCCAGGCTAGTAGGCCAGGCTAGTAGGCCAGGCTAGTAGGCCAGGCCAGTAGGCCAGGCTAGTAGGCCAGGCCAGTAGGCCAGGCTAGTAGGCCAGGCCATTAGGCCAGACCAGTAGCCCAGGCTAGTAGCCCTGGCCAGTAGCCCAGGCTAGTAGCCCTGGCCAGTAGCCCAGGCTAGTAGCCCTGGCCAGTAGCCCAGGTCAGTAGCCGAGGCCAGTAGACCTGTGACAGTGCTCCTTCTTTCTTATGTTCTTATATATTTTGTACGTGGTTATCATGTCTCCTCTGAGTTTTTTTTATTTTATTGAAAATACACTTCATTACAACAATGGACCCTGTAGCCAAGGGTGAAAAACAATTAAAACATAAAACATACAATGTTGCACCATACCGGCATACACAGTTTACCTATAACCCATTACATGTGACAGACAAAAGCTAACAGATACACACTAGGGATACATATAACTGAACATAGGTTATAGAAGAATCACCTACACCAAAAATACAATACATTAATATACACATCCCTAACCATATTATGAACTTTGCCTTTGAACAGCACTTATTAAACATGTACCTATATGTCTAGGTGCACAAAGAAAAAGGTACAGTGTATGTGGTACTAACCAGTAACTTGGCCTGACACTACATCAGGTCATAAACATAACTAGAGCAATTTAATAAGTACATACATGATGCGTGCATCTGTTAAAACCAATAAAAGAACATAATGCCGTATAGTGACTTATACCGGCCTTTCCCACTTCCCTAAACAGATTACAAACTCTTACCTAATAATTGATTATTTCCCCTCCTACACACTATGCCAAAACGGCACAACGGCTATATCATACATTCCCCAATACACCTAAAACATAGGTATGTTATACCACAAGAATAC